CCATGGATGGTAGGATTCACACAGCGTTCACTACCATGGTAAGAAAATATGGAGAAGGACCTCTTAAGAAAATGAAATTATCTGTTACTGTTTCCTCATATTATGATGCTGCCTAATCTTATGTGTGGATTGACTTCTGTTAAATTTTTTCTGTGTGTAACATTGTTGTTTTTAAAAATATTAAATTATATTTGAAAATTATATTTGGGAGGTTGAGAGGGCAAGAATTAAGTTCATTTGAGGTTGATAATTAGATTTGTAGTGATGCTGAACTTCCACTGGTCTCTGCTGCTTTGTGTAGGCATAGAGAAAGAAGGTAGTTGAGTTTATTATATGAGTATGCTTTTGCCAGAGGGCTGTAATAAAAATATTCAGGGGAAGAAAGATATAGGGCAGTAAAGTTCTAGGAAAAAATATAGCAGGTTTTTGAATAATGTCGTTTTGTTCAACATAGGTTTATTATTATATTTATAAGGGAAAAAAATCAATTCCCAACTTGGAGCAGTGTAGATTTGGCACATTCCCCCTATGTCTGCAAGGATTTTCTCTGGGTATTCAGTTTCCTCCCACATTTAAAAGATGAGCGCACTACGTTCACTGCTCTGTCTAAATTTTCCCAGTCAGAGCGAGTGAGGGTTTGCTTGTGCCCCTCGATGAAAGAGTGTCCTGTCCAGGGTTGGTTCCACCCAGTGCCCTAAGAGACCAGGATAGGTTTTGGCCACCTGTGACCCTACATTGGAATAAGGGGTTGGAAAGTGAGTGAGGAATGAATGAATACAAATTAGTATTGAATCTTAGAAGTTTTTGTTTCTTTAGAAGTTTGGTGACGTTTTTGTGACCAGAAACATACTTCAGGAAGTTTGGTCTTGTTTATATCAAGTTGCCGCCGTAAATTGGTTTCACTACAGTCTCAGTTCCTAAGACCCTGTCAATAAGTAAGAGCTTACTGTATTGTAAAATCAAATTTGGTTGCAGAATCATTAAAGGAGAGAAGACGAATTATAGAGAAATGGGTAACAGGAAACCCATTGTGATAGGTATGATTGAATATTGGATGAAAAGGAAATTGGGTTTACAGTGGGATGCTTGATAGGCTGATTTTGGAGATGGGACACTTTGAGATGGTAATTAAACTACAGAGTGACTGGTGTATAAGGGAGAATATATGCAATTATTGGATGTCAGAGAGCAATAAGAATTGAGAACATGGTGCTATGTATGCATGAGAATTAGATTTCCTTTCTTACGCAGAAAATCTGAAATAATAATGGCTAAGTAAAATAAGAATTTACTCTTGCTTAAAATCTGATGCAGTGCCCAGGGCAAGTGTGCCAATTCCATGAAGTCATTAGGTTTACCCAAGCTCTTTCCAATTTCATATATATAAACCAGCACAGGATTACAATGTCCAAAGTTGCCTTGTGGTCCAAGATATCTACTAGTGTTTCAGTCACCTTATTTTTAATGCAGGCAGCAGAAAGGAGAAAAGGAAAAGGGTCAGTAAGATCTTCCCTTGCTATCATTCCCCTTTTTAAGGTGATTCTCCAGGAATCTCTCCTAACAATTTCTGGTATTAGTCTGGTATTAGTCAATTTCACGTATTAGTCTTAGTTAGATGACTGTTGCTTTGAGGAATAGTGGGAAATGTGCTACTTGGGTTCATAGTTTATAACCCCCTAGTGATGGAGGGGTCTTGTTAGTAAAGATGGGAAGAATGAATATGGATAGACAGCTAGCAGTATTGATTACCCATGTGAAAATTTCAAGGTGATGGATAGAGCCTAAGATTAATGGCAATTTAAGACTTAACCAGATCAAGTGAAAGAAAGTAGCATGAAATTTATTTTGAATACATTGAGGAAAACCTTAAGACAGAGGGCAGAGGAATCTGAGGAGATGTATGGAGAGGAGTTTGTTCTAAAACATTAGTTAAGGAAATATCCATAGAAGGAATGAGGTGTAGGGAAAAGGCATGGGCTGATGGGGGTAAGAAAGTAGTTATTATTAAAAAGAGTGAGAAATAGTGATCCTTAATCTTTTGATCATCTATACATAAGAGAATTAAAGTTTCTTATGTATATTTTATATTACATGTATGTATTGATGTGCTAATGCTATATGTATAACAAAATATTATAAAAAATAGAAACTTTAAAAAATGAAATAAAAATGTCAATAAAAATTCTAATATAGTCTTCTACATACACCAGCCAATTTTCTTACCAGTCCCTGTCATCATGGTTGGTCTCAAAGGCCTCAGCCTCAATATGGCATAGGGTGGTGACTCTATTAGGGGAAATATGAGTAACCCAGCATAGAAATGATCTGTTACATTAAACAAGGAGGTCATTAAAGGCTCTAACCCTGGACTGCCTCCATACGCAAACTGAAATCTAAGCTGCAAATGCCTTAAAAATACCGATCAAAATACTGAGGATGGCCAATCACAACAGCTTAGCCTTTAAACCTGTCAAATAATATCTTTTCTTCACTTTCACACTTTCTCTATGTAAGTCTTTCCTCTGGCTTCTGTAGGTAGATTTTGTAGGTAGATTTTGGTGTGTGTACAGTTCAAATCAGTTTTTCTCAAGTTAACTCTTAAAAAATACTTAATGCCTCACTTCATCTTTACCAGTCTCTAATCTCAACTAAAAGTCTCCTCTTAAAATAAGAATAAGAATGTTTAAAATTCTTCAGAAATTTTGGGTGATACAGTAAGAAATACTGAAATTAAGGGAAGAAAAGGTGTGAGTTACAAGAATCACATAAAGAGATGACATTTGACCTAAGATAACAATGAGATCAAATAGGTAGGAAATGTTAAAAAATATATTAAAAAAGAAATCTCAAATCATTAGAAAAAGGAAGGATTATTTATTAAGGATTTTGATACGGGTGTCAGGATCTTGAAGTTAGATTACACAGGTAATGACTGGTGAATCCTCTCATCCCCCTGTACCTCTGGCCTATACCCCAGTTCTTGTATGCATAAATAAATCTTTTTAAAAAACTGAAAATGCATACAGATGGTATAAATATGTATTATGAATTTGAACTGTAATACATTTGAATTGTGCATTTGAATTGTAAATCCTGAGAGTAGCTCTCATATACCAAGCCATGTTATAAAACTGGAGTAGATAAAGCAAAAGATAGCCAGTATTCAGAAATGAGGGCTCTGTCTCTTGAAAACTTAACATATGTTAATGAATGATAAAAGTGACATTTATATCATTAGGATAGAATGAGCTGTTCTTTTATTTTTCTATCCAGAAAATGTTTACTGAAGGCCAAGCACTATTCTACATGCCAGGGATACATTGGCCATCATCATGGTACTTAAATTCAAATTTAAGGATGAATAAATAGGAAGAGGATAGAGTTCACAAGATTCGTAGGGGTGGGGGCAACATTATATCCCTGCTTACTACTCTACAAAGAACCTGACACAGGCAATGTGTTATAAAGCAAAAAACCCAATAGAAAATTCAAGTGAAGATTTTTGTTTTCATAGCTATTCATGAAGGAGGTTATAGAGCTATCCAGTAAATATCTAATACCTTTTCCGTAGTGAAAATGGAAATCAAACTGAGATAACACTTGCAGTTCTGAGAGTGACAGGAAGTTTTAATGATACCATTTCTTTTCCATGAGTCTGGGGGAAGTGAGTGCTTGTCTGTGTTGCAGATATAACTGTATGTTGGTAATCTGTTTGGGAGGAGAGTTGAAGAGTAGTTCTCAAAGAACAAGATACACATGCTATGACCCAGCAGTTCCACATCTTGTTAGCTGCCTCAGGGTAGTCTTGAATGTAGGCACAAGAAGGTATGGTATTGGCAACATGATTTGTACTAATAAACATCCAACTGCTGCCTGAATGTGCTTCAGTTAGAATGTGTGTCCATACTGGGGAGCACTGTAGTGCTCACAGAAATCCCCAGAACATGTTGATCAATGTAAGTTACAGACAATATATGTATGTACCAATAATAACAGCAGTTACCCCCAAACTGTTTAGCATTGGCCTGTTAGCATCATAGGTGTTATTTAGAATGCTTTCAAAGAGCATATGTATTTTTTTCACTTGTGTACTTAAATCATTATAGCAGTTCTCCTTATTAGCCTTAGTTAATAGCTTGCATTCCCCACTTTCTTAGCCCTTATTGTATGTTTTATCATTATCACTTATCTGGCACTTGGCAAGTGCTTTTGTACATTTGGTAGCCTTTCAAGTTGCAAGTCTTCTAAGAGTGTAGGCTCTAGTCCTATTTTTTAATATAAAAATATCAAAAGAAAACATTTAGTGAAAATTTGTAATCATGAATTGCTTGTATCTTTGGAAAACATTTTTATGTTCTTTTTATTTGTAAGTGGGTAAATAAAAGTTTGACTTCTAAATTTATTTAAAATTTAAATGATTAGACAAAACCCATTTTAAAATTTGTTCGTAAAAAAGATGTTAGCAAATGAAATTGCTCAAATCACATTTTTCTTTTTTTTTTTTTAATTTTTATGGGGGTTTTGAAAATTTACTAAAAATCAAAAATTAGAAAACTTCTATGACTTTTTTTTTTAAGATTTATTTATTTATTTATTTATTTATACAAGAACTGGGTACGGTCAGAAGCGTGGGAGGGTGAGAGAATTCACCAGAGACAGAGCAGGGAACAGAACAGGCAGACTGATGAAACACACTACTGAGGGGAGCAGCGGGCGGTAGGAGAGGTCTGCGCGCCATGTGGGACCCTCCTCCGGTGGCCCGGGAGCAGCCAGGGATCAAACCGGTTCTGCAGAGGTTGCGGGCAGCTTCACAACCCAGCGCTCAACCGCTGCGCCACCAGGGAGGCCCAGGAAACTTTTATACAAACATATGTCAATTTTAGCTTCCACATTGTTGTCCACACACACAAAATAGTGAAACATGAACTCCTTTTATTAAACCTGTAGCCCATGATCATAGTGGCAGCCAGCCCAATTCAACACTTTTTCTTTTTTCATAGGTCGTTTATATTCGATGCAAACTGGAATGAAGATTGATAGTAAAACTCCTGAATGTCGTAAATTTTTATCAAAGCTAATGGATCAGTTAGAAGCTGTAAGTTCATCCTGATAATTTATTTTGTGATTAATGCTTAAAATGCCGTTTTATTTCATTTATGCATGTGCATATTGCTATTCTGGTTGTTTCCCTTGGCAGCAGTCAGCGACATTTTTATAGCTGAGGAAAAATTAGACGCAAATTTTTATTTGCATCATACTGCTAAGGGAGTTGTAAGCATAAATTAGATCCAGTGTCATTGCATATATTATTATATCTTGTTCCATGTTATCATAAATGGCCTTTGAGTCATCCTTTCATGAGTAACAGACCCTGGAAATCTACACAATTGTAAATTGTATTAATTTGAGAGATACATATCTGTAAATTTAAGCTTCCATAACTGAATTCTAAGTTTGTCATTATATACCTTACTTAGAATTATATCTTTTTATTGTGCTCTATTAGCTAGTGATACTATTTTAAGATGTAATGATCCTTCTAGTTTTTTATATATATATTTGATAGAGGAAATTGAGATGGAAATGAAAGTTAAATTTTTTCATTATAAGTGGTTAGGATAAAATTTCCTAATTCCAATTAATACATTATTTGGAAATATTTTTGGATGTTTTACGTGTGTGTACCTGAAATGTGTTATCTTTTTATTCTTGGTTATTTTTATTTTTAGAGCTAGATTATACTTTTAAAATATCAGTGTATTTCATTAAAATTTTGTAAGCGTTGAATTTTATTTTAAATACCTTGGACTGCAACAGCAATTGTCTTTTACAAGATTTAATTGAGAACATATTTATAGAAATGAATGTAAATAATTTGCTTATAATGATTATTAGGATTATTTGTACTTAAGCATATAGTTTTGTGAGTTAAAAGCTGTAAATTTTCTATCTGGTTTTATTTTAGCTTAAGAAACAGTTGGGTGATAATGAAGCTGTCACTCAAGAAATAGTTGGTTGTGCCCATTTGGAGAATTATGCACTGAAAATGTTTTTGTATGCAGATAATGAAGATCGAGCTGGGCGATTTCATAAGTAAGTAAATAAAGAGGAAAATGAAAATTGCATGTTTAATTATAATACTTTTATATATCACATGTAATTTAATTATAATAATGACCAGAATTACTTAATTTGTATTGAATACTTTTTAACTTCCCAATTAATGATTTATATTTTTTTCTTAAATTACTTGTAGAATCTTAGAATGATTTTGGCTATAAATGTAATTTTGTTTTTAGAGAAAATAACTGAAAATTACCCAGGCCAGACTCATTTTTCAGTAAGTATTCCTTAAGTAGCCATTCTTGCATATAAGAGTGGATTTTATCCAAAACCAGCCTTTTTCAGTTATGATGATTTAAAAAATTCCCAACCCTGCTAATTCAAATGGGATATCATTTTTGTAATAATACATATATATTCATGGATTGATGTGGATTCAGGTAACACTATAATTATATTTTCTAAAATTAGAAGTATACCATAAAACTTTGTTGTTAACATTTACTTATATATGTGTTGTTACTTCTAAGGAGATTACAAAAGAAGCTCCATTGTGTTCTTGAAGCGCCATTGTGTTCTGATTTTATTTAAAACATTAATTTCAGAGTACTTTATAAACATTGGAATTTTTGCTTATAACCAATGAGTAGTACTATATGGTTTTCATTTAAACTAGACCAGCACTCTTTTCTCTTCCAGAAACATGATTAAGTCCTTCTATACTGCAAGTCTTTTAATAGATGTCATAACAGTGTTTGGAGAGCTCACGGATGAAGTAAGTTCACATTCTTTATTGTTTTATATCTGCAGATCAATATTGCTACTGTTTAATCAGTTTTGTTACTGCTTTGCTTAAAGCCTCATGTCACATTTTAGAATGTAAAAATACTCCCTGTTGGCGCAAGGGGTTAAGATGCAACCTATGAAGCAGTCCTCAGCCACTGCAGCAGGAGTTGGATTCCCGGCCAGCCAGGGAGCCACCCACATGGCGCAGCAGACCTCTCCTATCTCGCCTGCTACTCCCCTCAGCAGTGTATGTCAGTCAAATCTGCCTGTTCTATTCCCCACTCTGTCTCTAGTGAATCCTCTCACCCCACCCCCCACACCTCTGGCCTGTACCCCAGCTCTTGTATGCATAAATAAATAAATCCTTAAAAAAAAAAAGTAAAAACAAAAGATGAAATTATTTTTCATAATATACCTTATTTTTTGTAGTAAGTTCTTAACTACACTTTAGCAAATGCATGACTACTGAATTGAACAGCTCAAGTTTGGAGTTTAATTTTATTAAGTGTTTAAGTATTCCTGATCCTGTATGCTGTTAAATTTCTACACTGTTATTTTGTAAACATACTGGAGGCAGACTCTTTTTTTTTTTTTTTAAAGATTTATTTTATTTATACATACAACAAATGGGGTGTAGGTCAGAGGTGCAGGGGTTGAGAGGATTCACCAGAGACAGAATGGGGAGTAGAATAGCAGATCTACTGAAATATACTGCTGAGGGTAACAGCAGCAACACAGGAGTGGTCTGCTGCGCCATGTGGGTTAGCTCCCTAGCAGAGGATCGAACTTACGTTGCAGTGGCTGGTGATAGCTTGATTGTGCTGTGTTTTTAACCCCTGCACCACCAGGGAGGCCCTGGAGGCAGACTTTTTAGGATTTTTTTTTCCTATTTCAATTGTACTCAGAAATATTGCTTCTAATTTGTTTCTATTGTAAAATATATTAGAATTTGATATTTTATGAGATACTTCATAGGTGTTTTATCAGTTTTTTTTCCCTCATAACCCTATAAGATAACCAGAGTATATACTCATTTATACATGAGAAAATTGAGGCTAGATGACAAAGTCATTGCTGCGAATTTGGTGGGTTTTTTTTTCACTGTCCTATTTCTTACCATCACTGTGGAAGATTTATTTTCTGAGAGGGGAGATAGTAATGTAAAAAGAAAGAGGAAATAAAGAGCTACAAATAAAACTGATAGAGGCATGGTGATTTGAATATATGAAGAACATTGCTTTCTGTGATGATTTTTTCAAAGTGATGAGCAACTCATACTAACTTTTCAGTCAAATCAAAGGACAGTATATCTATGAGATGTTTATGATTTTATAAAACAATGTCTCAAAACTGCAAAATGTTGTTTATGTATAAAATGAAGGTGAGCTTTAGGCTTTATGATTATAAACTGGGTTTTTGCATTAGCAGAGTTGTGCAGAACATTTTAAAACTATGCCAAGTGTGACCATCCCTTTTATTGCAAAATAATCAGGCATCCCTAGCCCTTGCCCGTACGGCATTCCCATTCCCCAGTTATTCAGATAACCAGAAACCACCCCTAGATATTTCTAAAACACTCTCTAGTATATGGAGTATTAAGAGCCACTGCTGTCAAGTTTTCTTGAAACTGAGTAGTGTCAGGAAAAACAGACCTGGAATGTGAAAACCTGAAATCCTCAGTGAGTATCACCTCATTGTATTCTCAAGCCCTATGGATCTTCTATTTGGTTCTCTTTCTACTCCCACTCCAGTTGTTGTTAATGATCCGGATTGTCTTTCCTCTCTGTATACTAGTATAAGACATTGTGCTAGACGCTTGAGGAATCTAAGGTGATTTAAATATGACATTATGGAAGCTTTATATAATTCAGTAGGGTTTTAGAGAGTACCAGGTTGGCAAAGGAAAATATTGAGACTTCTCATTTGAAAAGTAAATTGTAAACCAGATTAGATGAGAGAGCGCGCTGAGATCTTCTGTTGGTGACATTTAAATAAAGAACCATGCCATGGTAAAAATCTATAGAATAAATGGTATAAAGTAGAACTTCGTGATTTGGCAAAATAACTAGCAAACGATTCCTGTGGAACTTTATACGAAAGTTGGTTTTAATTTCAGGAAAAATAATATGTTCAGACTTAGATTTTAAAATTTAATGTTAAAGTATGGCATTCAAAAAGAAATTCCAAGATCTTAGAAATAAATAGTTGAGACATTCACAAAATAGAGATGACAGTTCAAGTTAGGTTATTAGACAAACCCTCAGGTAAGAGGATAATTTTGAAGGAGAGAGAGGATGGTCAAATAAACATCTTGCATTTACAGTGTAAGAAGTGACTGAAGGAATACATTAGAGAAGTAGATAAATTCAAGATATCATCATAGAAGATTCTGTTAAGACAAAGCAACAGATCAGTTTGCCAAATACTTTCTAGAGAACTCTCCTTTCTCTCCTACTTGTCCTTACTTTGAGAAGTTGCTTTGCCCACGTATCTCACAAGTAAGCACACCAGTCCTTTGAAGTTATAACTTCCAGTAATGGAAAGTCCAGATAACAGGTAAAGTAATAGACATAGGAAAAAGACAAAAACGTCCAGAAGTCTTAAGTGAGTAAAGTAGGTTTTGTTTTTGTTTTTACTGAAGGAACACATAAATATCTCCACACATAATTAGTACATGATTCATCTGCATTTCATAAGAAAAATCTAGGGTTATATTTAAGTGTCTTAACAAAGAACAATTTCCTTAGTTATTTGAACATTGTAGGCAGGGACTTTTCACTAACTACATGATTTTCACTAACTTACATATTAGTTAAAAATATGCAAAGTTTGTACATCTAACAAGTTGTATGTGTGCCCATCCATCAAAATTTATCATTTGTTTCACAGTAT